CCTTCACTCCAGCTGGGGGAGCATGCCAAACAGCATAATTGGCCATTGACTATTTCTGTTGGTCTAATCGGCTCGTGTACCAATTCCTCGTACGAGGACATGACCCGAGCAGCTAGCCTTGCTCGACAAGCGGCCCAAAAGGGATTGAAAGTTCGCTCTNTAGAAGTGTTTAACCAGATTGGCGGATCAGTGTTGGCCAATGCATGCGGTCCTTGTATTGGTCAGTGGTCCCGAAAGGTACATCAAATGTTCCTGGCCCACTGCGAATCCCTTGTGGGGTAAAATCGTACTGTATCATCGTGCCCTAATCAATTTATCAATTGTTTCCCTGAATTCTTTGTATGCAGTTGTGAGCACACAATCAATGCTTATTAATCGTTCGCCGGATTCCATCTCTTGTCCCTTCGTGTCACGCAAACGCTCAGAAGTCGACAAGAAAAGATAGACAAAATCACCATAACATATTAAGATTTCATTTCTTTATGGTTCATTTATTAACGGCTAAAATGAATAAATTTATATCTCGTGACCTAGAATCAGGATATGTATTGTCCAAACATTACAAATATACATTATATATATATATATATTTTTATCCAACACCTAACCAATTATAGAGAACTGGCAAATGTGCCACAACATGCAAAAGAGAAATCTGAAGAATATGTTCATAGGTTGTGTGGGCATGTCACTTCCCGGTTGTCCTGGCCGAGGAAAGAAGATAACCTCCGGGTCCCCACCCGAAACCTTTGGCTAGAAAGCCAGACCTGCAAGACAACAGGATGGAGCTCAGAGTCGGCAGTCCATTAGGGGCCGGTGTCCAGTTAATTGGATCATACGCCCTTTAGACGGAGTCAGACTTCCAAGGTGCCCAATATACCTCGATGCCCAATTGAGCCGTTGACCATTGCCGCAACCAGGAAGATGTGCGTGTGGCTCGTACGCCTCTTCTCGATTCGTTTGGAATTAGGATTTTTAGCCAACTCCCCTAGGTGAACTGCTAATGGTTCACCAACCCGATTATAGCCCCGGATCTTGGCTTTTTGTTCTCTCACTTTGGTGGGAAAACCTCTCCGCCACGCTTAGGTAATGCCTAGGACTTGCTCAGCAGAGGTTATTTAAGAGGTGAAGGGGAAAGGTGTCCAGTCACAGCTTCAAGACACCCACCCCCGATCGTACTGAGGCTTTCGGAGGCTTCGCGTGCCTTTACTGTGGGACGCTGTTGTCAATTCGGTCTGTTTTCACATTCTATCAGTTTCGTAAGGCGGTCACCAATGTTCGCTTGCTGCATATCTTCAGGTGTCAGTCACATGGCAAGGGTCATGTTTACTAAGACCGATAATATCATATGAACAGTCGGAAAGTCAAGGGTACTCAACATCTCACTCCGGTGAAACTATGCGTTTTTGCTGCATGCTACCATAAGAATAAATTCCAAAAAAGGCAATATTTGCAGCATTTATTTGTGTTCATACCACAGTTTCTTGCCGCGAGGCACTGTACCACCGAGAGCTTGGGGGAAAGCATGAGTACATTATCGGCTAAAGTTTTCTTTGCATACAATAGTGACCTATGATCTTATTGGTCTCTAGTTATTTAGTTCACATAGTGTGAATCATCCAAAAAATTGTTAACGGCTCTGTATAAACTCGAGTGATTCAATTCCCTGTCAGTCATCATCGTCATCATCATTGTACAGCGAAATACGGTGAATTGAACTTCACTGATCTTTACCAAGTTCACAATAAATACAAAGTACAAATGTGTTGGGTGAATGGGAGGTTGCACCTGTTTTAAGGGAAGCAAAATAAGGTGCACATCTTGACGTACAAAATGGACAATGGCATACACACCTCTTCAAGTATTCTGGCCTGATATAAATGTCAACAAGATCGCCACTACAGTCGGCTCGTTGCCATGTTCTTCAGTGTCTCCAATCAGCCAGTTACGAATTATTTTGGACCCCAACCAATCACTCTGTGCACTTTTTCTTGCCTCGTCCCCGCATAATTTTTCCAGCCCAGAGCAGATACTGAAAATAAGTGCGTGGCGGAATATGACTGTTTGGCATTTGCAATAATTGTCCTATCCTGCGAAGTCTACTAAACTGAATTCGATGTGGTCATGGATTACTCACGGAAACATCCCCGAACACATGGCGGTCTACGTGTAGGTTACTAACTCGCTCGCTCCAATCAAACTAAGTCAGTATTGATTATCGAAAATCTCTAGTCTTTGGATGCCTTCAAGTTCTCACAACCATAAAACAGAACTGACCGAACNTATTTCAATTTTAGTGGCACGTCATGTTGACATCAGAGGTGTTTCGGTCGTCTGTACGCTTTCACCGATTCACGACAGGCACCGCGCTTCTTTTGCCGTTGAAATTGTCGCTTATCCACAACACCGCAAATCACGTGATTTTCTGCGACAGGATGCAACCAGTTCCGATCCGTTGTGAGCGAATAACTGCCGCATATGAAATCTGGCAATGTGAAGAAACATGGTTATCACCAGTTCATGGCGTTGTCTTGCCAAGCCTCGATCTGGTTATCTCATTCGTGGATGAAGTAGGAACACGTTCCAGTCGATCGGAATAAAATAGAGCAGTGACACAACACAGTGTTTTGCATTAAAATGTCTGTTCCTCGGACTATTTTCAGTTTTCCAATTTATATCATCCTTAGTCGG